TCTACTTTGATTTTGGTTAAGGTAGATTATCATTTACAGTGTAATCAGTGAGGGGATTCTGCAGACAGTTGAGGGTTCAGCCTCCTGATGAGTCGGTGAAACTCCGACGAAACAGTTTGTCACGGCCCCTCGTTTGTTGTCCTCTTCTCTCTCTCTGCCTACGGTTTACCGGGCAGTTCTGTTTGTGACGATATATATATATATATATTATATATATAGTTGCTTTTCTGTGGGAATTGTCATCTGGGATTGTCTTTTTTGTTTTTTTGCCGTTGGTGGTGTCCCAGTATTTTAGTTTAGAACCGTGAGCAGAAAGATTGAAACGATACCAGTTTTTGCAACAAATAACAATCGCAAAGGATTCCTGGAGTTGACACAGAGTCGCTAGCGAGGTTTGTTATGTGGGATTGTTTGTTTGCAGGCAAGGGTGTTTTGATATCCTGGTTGGTCTTGTCCCGTCGTTTGGCCTGTGACGGAGGAGGCGGTGCTTGCTTGTGGGACTTGTCATCTAGGATTTGTCTATGTTTGTTCCCCCTGTTTTGTTATATTTGGCTGTTCCCTGCCTCTTTCTTTGCCTCCTTGCCTTTTGGCTGTGTGCAAGTGGGTCGATATGACACACGGGATTGGGGGCAGCCGCTGCTCAACTTACACCTATGTGGGCGGCCTTGTATGCAAGAGCTTTTGAACAGGGGGAGTTGTGTAAGTAAGAAGATAAAAAATGAATTGATATATTTCTTGTTTCTTTTTGTTTTTTGAACTTTTTTTTGCTTTTGCGCTCTGATATCTTTGTGACTATATATGTATATATATAGATAGAAACTCCGATGAAACAGTTTGCCACAGCCCCTCGTTTGTTGTCCTCTTCTCCCTCTCTGCCTACGGTTTACCGGGCAGCTCTGTTTGACTATATATATATATATATATTGCTTTGATTTTCGTCACAGGTACCTTGAGGGAAGTGGTTGGTGCCCACCTAAGGGTATCAGTTGCCAGGCAGCCGTTGATGTTGATATCAAATTCGCGCAGACACAATCTAGACTCTAGAGTCATAACTTTTAGTCAATTCAAGTTTCTGGGCCCAAAAAGTTGTCTCTACAGCCTTTGAACAGGCATCAGAACAGTGCTGCAAACCCGGTAGGACTGGGAGGCCCTCCCCCAACCGGAACTGGACCGGTCGACCGGGCCAGTTCCCCCCCGGTTGGCTGTAACGCATCATTTATTATTATTATTATTATTATTATTATTATTATTATTATTATTATTATTATTATTATTTTTAATTTTTTTTTAAGCCCAGGGTGTTGTAGAGGCCAAGGACTAGACCCACGATGATTGCTGGCAGCGGCAGCCGGTGGCTGTCCTGACAGGATAGGCCACCTTCCCTACCCTTCCCCACGTTAATGCTCCCAGCGCACCCCCTATCCCTACTACGGTGACCGTTGGCAGCGGCA